AATGTGAAATACACAGGAAGTGGTATGTAACTTTAAAATAAAAAATAAGAAATATATTTATTAGATTTTTTGGAAATTCATTCCTTAAAGGGGTGAAAAGAGGTAATAAAGTTTATATGGACAAAAAATTATTTATGATCAGAATTACTTGAAACTTGGCATTAGCTCTTCAATACAATTAAATAAATACGTGTATTAGCAATTTTTCGAAATTTATCGCATAAGAGGGTAAAATGAGAAATGAAATTTTGTATGAAACTAAGTAATTAATGCACAAAAGTGGTATTTACCTTTAAAATGAAAAAAAAAACAATACAATTAACTTTTTTTCGTAATTCATCCCTTAAAAGGGTGAAACGGGGTTGCGCTGTTTATATGGGGAAAAAATTGTTTATGATTAGAATTACTTGAAACTTGGTATCAATCCCTAAACTAAGTAGGTACGTATTGCGCAAAAGTTTATGTTTTTCATAGTTTGATCGCGGGCGAAGCCGTGGGTTCTGCTAGTAGGTCTTAAAGTATTTTCCACCCTCCTACCCCCACCCTTCATTTTTTAATCGCGATTTTAGTATTTTTGTATGAAAAATACTATATAAATATATAGCGACAACCCGAGCAAAGCGAGAACATAAAGCTTAAGAGTTTTTTTTGTTGATTGAACGCAGGAGTAGCCGAGGGTTCTGCTAGTCTATATATATAAAAATTAATTGCTGTTCGTTAATCTTGCTAAAACTCAAAAACTGCTGGGCCAGTTTAAATAATTGTTTAGTTGTTCAGTTGAGGGAGTGTCAGGGATAGATTAAGTATAAAATAAATAGGAAAACCCCAAAAAAATTGCTGGAAAATCTAAAAGTTCAGAACTGTTTATTTTGTACCTATGTATATACGACTACATATAATATAGTAGTCTATGTATTCCATACTAACTGTTAAAACGTACCTAGTGATGAACCAGAGCGAAGCGAGGAGACCTCTCTACTACAAGTATAAAATTAGTCATTTATACAAGAATTTAGTAATTCAAATAATCGTTTTAAATCAATTAATTAAAGCAGAACTATTACGTTCATTTTTAGATTTATATTAATAGAATCGCTTATATTGTATTATTGAACTTAATTCCCAAATCTTATCATGGAGGGAAAATTTTAAGATTTGTCACGTAACTTAAGTAAAAGAAAACTAATTTAAGAAAGATTTCGTTGAGGTTTAACTGAAAATGAAAACATTGTTAGTCTTAGGGTTTGATTTAAAGTTATAGATCCTTTAGGCTGTGGTAGGTATATTGTTAATTCCTTTAAATAAAATTTTTATTAATTTATTTGGGCATGTATCTATCTGATTGAAACTGCCTTTTGAGTAGAAATATAGTATACTCACCCTCGTTCAGCTCGGGGTTGTTCCTGGGAACATTTTATCGGTTAGTATAGATTTCTCAGAGATTTTCTCAGAGATGTTGACCCGGATATCCAGCTTTCATCATACCAAATTTTATCAAAATCTGTCTAGTGGTTTTCTATGATGCGTTCTCAGACAGACAGATAAACCGACAGATAGACAAAGATTCTAAAAAATATAGATTCGGCCTCTTTATCGATAATAATGATTACTTCAATAAGATTTCCCAAAAAATATTTAATGTACAGATTCGACTCAGTTGAATTTTATAATATGTATATAGACTATCTATACTTTATCAATAACTAGACAGATTTGGCTTAGCAGGAATGTTTTTGGGCTTCGTAGCGAAGACATGAAAACGGAACCCATATAATTAACGTCAAGGATGTCTTACAGTCTGTTGGTATTTCAGTAACTTTGTCAGTCTGTAAGAATGTTGTTCATATATTACTGATTTTGTTAAGGTGTCTCAATATGTGAGCCGCTAAATAATTTTCCTTTGCAAAAAAGTTAATACTGGAGTGGCATTCCATACATAATAATTGAGGGCAGAATAAAAAACTTTGACATCACATACCTACACGTGTGGGCTTTCTATAAATAGGTCTTTAAAATTGATATAGCTGATGTTCCAATAATAATAAATATAATTTGCAAAGTATAAATAATGTAGAAAAATATTTCATACACCATCGAAGCGCAATGTTATGGTTATGGCACTATGGGTTGGGAAAAACATCGGTAAAATTTAGGGCACTTCGTGAAAACGATTTAATTAGTACCGAAATAGAAGCAATCAAAACGTTTCGATATATCAGTTTCCGTAATCAAATGTCATGGACGCGATCGGTTGTGAATTTAGGAAACGATATTTTGCGGCAGTTGGTTTTATGACTAAAATTTTACTAGTTTTTGGATTTTTTTATTTTAGTTAATGAAATAGCAAATTTTTGGCGTCTAAATATTTTTTTTTAATAAATTTATTTTGGTAGTCTTTTATACCTAAACAACATAAGGTACATTAATGATAGTTTCGCATGTTTCTGTATGGTTACGTAAATAAATACTTACATAAGTATGTATTTCTGAATATTTTGATTATTTATTATATGATGATTAGAAAAATTGTGGTAATAAGTTTTTTTTATATTCCTGAATATTTGTTGCAGAGTATAAAAAATGCTCTATTAAGAAGGCCCTTGAGCATAACCACGACCCTTCAATGGCTGGCCTGCCTTGGCAGACTTCGTACCGTACTCCACCCAAACCATGGAGTTGCTTTTACTCTGCTCCACTCTCCTATCAAATGTATCTACTAATACAATTTGGACAAAACTAAGATTATAATAAATAAACATATAAAACCGAGACTAATTGCTCTTATCGAAATAAATTTTAAAGTTGTTCGAAAATGTGTTTGGCCGAGTATTTCCAGTTGCCGATATCAACGAAAAAGTAGCGTTGATTATGCGGAGAAAGTATTTTTTTTTCTCTCTTCATCTATTGCTGCTGTCTAAGATGAGTTGCAGTACCCAAAACCCATCTAGCGTCAGAGTTGACGAAGTGGACTAAAGCCCTATATTGAACCAGGAACATTCGCCTAAACATAAAAACACTCAGTTTCGTTACTTCAAACTGTTCGCCATAACAATCGATGTTGTTGACACTCTTTGCATTTGGCGTCATTTCCATTAAGATCAAACCCCAAACGCCTATTATATGGATTGTTTTCTCTGCTACTGGTAAAGAAGAATACAAAACAATTACTCAATTCAGAGCATCATCTTTTAGTTTATAAGCTCAATGAACATAAATGATTTTACAATACTATTAAAAATTATTTTTCCCGCATAATACTTTCTTAGATTTACGCGAATATTTGACATTTTAAATTAATAAAACTATCTTTTCGGAATTTTTTTGTGGATTCATTATTTGATTTTTGGTTCCTGACGTTTTGAATGCTTTCAGCAATCATGATCACGGGCGAGACTCTCCAAAAAGATAATTTTATTATAATTTTGTTTTCCTATAACTAAACAAGTATCTACGAGTATATTACTGATACTCTTAAAATTTCAATATAACATTTCTATATTATATATTTATCTTATCATGAACTAATTTCATAATGACTTTTAACGTTAATTTAATTAGATTGTAATTATATGTTTATTTTGAACTAGCGACTCACCCTCGTTTCGCTCCGGTTCGTCTCTTAGTGATTCTTTGAATTGACATATTTTTTTTATTTATGAACCTATTGAAATAAAACAAATACTGAATGTATTAAGTGAAGTTTACCAAAATACATTAGTGAAAATAGCGTCCAAAATGGTGAAGCCGTTTCTGAGATTAGCACGCGCAAACGCACAGACAAACAGAAATAATCTAAAAATCATTGATTTGGGATCCATTGCGTTAATAAAGACTCCTAATTATAGTTTTTCGCAAATTTGGTCCATGTACAGACAGCGATCAGTTACAATTTTATTATATGTATAGCTTTTGCGATTAATGAGTACGAAAATTAAATATTACCAATTTTAAGGGCTCACATAAATTAGCTATCATATATATATATATATATATATATATATATATATATATATATATATATATATATATATATATATATATATAAGTTTTTTTATGATTTTTCATCTCCATTTTTTTCATAATTTTCTGAAATCAATGGATAGCGCTTAATATGAGATATGAACCTTTAAAATTACAGCTACACCACCTAAATAGTCTCTGAGTTATATGGCTGTGATTATATAAGTGTTCCGTTTGACTTTTGGCTACCGAACCCTAAAAAATAATCAAATCCCTGTTTGACATAGAGCGCAGACTGAAACGTTCACTCAGTCTTGTACTCCGCGTTTTACTCGTATCAAATAAGAAGCGACGCGTGCTCCGTATAGAGTAGAGAATAGAGATAGAGCAAAAACTGAAAAGGATTGATCAATCAAACTAAATAATTTTTAACATCTACTCAGGATGAATTTTTAAAAGAAATTGGGACTCTTTGATTTTTTACACGAATATGTCCACATCTCACTGTTTGTATTTTTATAATCGAGTACTATAAAAACTAGCCAAGTGCGAGTCGCGCACGAACGGTCACTTACCATAATCGATGTTTTTTAATTTACATGGCAGCCATTTGGAAATTCGCCATCTTGGTTTTTTATTGTTTGAAATACTCTCTCTGTGAAAATGTCAACTCTCTACGTATTACGGTTCATGAGATACAGCCCACTGAGAGACAAAGGCACGGAAAGCGGAGACTTAGTAGTAGGGTTTCGTTGGTACTCTTCGGATACAGACCCCTAAAAACACGTACGATATCTTGCCATATGAACCCATTATGAGTGAGATATATTCTTGCTAAGATTTGAAAAAACTGAGGCCAAACAAACAAATAAACAAAATCACAATATTATGATAACCTTTTATGTCGGTGAGGATAAAAGGAAAAATTTTCAATACACTTCCCAGTCAAAATATTGATAAGATACTCGTACGACGTATCAATTGATATAAATAATATATACATTTCGTTATCGATTCAGTCGAATATAGTCAAAGAAACAATGAAAAGGATAATAATAATTTTATTCTCCGTGTATTTTTTACACTGTGAGAGTGCAGAGTATAATAATAACGATGTAGTTAATGATAGACCTATTATAGGTGTGCTATCTCAAGAACAATCATATTATCTCCATACAAAATATAAAGAAGAGAATTATACCAGCTATATAGCAGCTTCATACGTAAAGAGCATTGAGGCATCTGGGGCCAGGATAGTACCTATATTGTAAGTTATTTATATTACTTTTTTTGAATTGACTACTTCGTAATAATATTTAACTGTAATATTTTATCAAAAATGAATTCGAATCCTGCACATAGCTAAACATTTCTATGCCTTTTTTTAAAATATTTTTCTGATTTGATCTAGGCTAAGATTAGCAGGAGATATTATAGTGCCCAAGTGCAGGCACAGATACAAGTATATTCTCTATTCCCGCTTTTATTCTGGTAAGACGACAATAGATAAGACACAGGATCGACGACTTTACGTACTCTATGAGACACATGGGTGGAACCAATTTTACAACTCCAAGACACACTTTACACTTACAAGCTGTTACTAAGACTTTTTAAGCAGAAAGACTCATCTTAATCGTAATCTTATCTCGACCCATGAATCGAACCTAGGACCTCTGGATATGCAGCCGTACTTGCCTAAACCATCAAGGTAGTTCTATGAAACAATAAAAATAATATTATAATATGTCTTTTTTCTATGAATAATTACTGTTATTATAAATCACTCTAAAAGTAGTTATGGTAAAAAGTTCTTGACTTTAGAGTATCTCAGGATTAATTGATTGAATAAACTAATCCAAAAAAGTTTTTTTGAACTAAAGATTTCATTGCTTTGTTTTAGCTTTAAACGTTCGGGATTAACTCCAGTCTAAAGCCAATACCAGGCTTAGTATTTTCACAAAACAAAACTCTTCACAATAGACTCGATTTACTTCATTAGGACAAATCGATTGAGTACGAGGTCAAAAATATTTTTTATTGATGCAGCATAAAATGGAATATAACCAAAATGATTCGTTTTTTAGATTATTCATTTCTCAAAATTACTGTTGCACTATGAATCGATTTTGCTTTAATTTCACTGCAAAATATATTTTTGATAGATTTAATTTTAAATGCATATATTGAAAACGCTGTGATATATGTGTCCATATTTGGGAGTTGTTTAATAATACTTTTTTTCTATTCATGTCATTACTCGTAATATATTTCTATTCCAGAATAGGCAAGGACAGAAGTTATTATGAAGAACTTATGGGAAAGATTAATGGGTAAGAATTTTATGATAATTACCTTTATATAAATACAAATATTACATTTCCTTACATTATAATTTTAATTTCCAAACACAAGAAAAATTAAGAAACAAAAATTACAGGAAATGACAATATACATATAATTAAAACATATTTTCTCGTCGCCTGAATATTATATTATGTGTTTTTAAAGTAATAACGATATAATTTGTAGAAAGTAAACTTGTTAATGGTACAAGTCTGGAGGCTTAGACAAGATGTCACTGTATTACTAATTATTGAAGAATAAAGATTTTAAAAAGTTAATTGAAAGCTCGAGTTGAATCTTTACATCATAAAATCGTGATATATCATTCCTATATTATATATATTTTTATAGAGATCCATTTGGTTATTTTATCACTTTTATGACCACTCCTTCAATAAAATCAAAATAAAATATTTTTAGAGTTTTATTTCCTGGTGGAGCTACATATTTTAATCAATCAGATGGCTATGCTGATGCAGGTCAGCATATTTATGAAATTGCGCAAAAATTGAACGATGCTGGTCACTATTTCCCAATTTTCGGGACGTGCCTTGGTTTCGAGCTACTTATCATATTAGCTTCTGGTCGCAGCAAAGTGGAGAATAGAATTAGATGTTATTCATATTCTAATCTTCCACTTCACTTCACGCCAGGTGAGTTTAAATCACATTGATTTTGACATGAATATTCGTAATCGCCTAAAAGCGATTGTACAAAGAGATGGATATTAGCGAATGTAATATAATACCGTGATCGTTGCATTTGGTCAAGTTGTTCTCTCCACCTCTCTGCATTCAGTACATTATGAAGATTAAAAATGCTGAGAACTAAAATTTACACTATAAGTAAAAAAATCATATTATACTCATGCTCATATTAATAAGTAGTAATATAGTGCAGAATAAATAGCTCAGTTTGTAGTGACCCTACTTGCTGTGCCAGCAGTCGCGCATTCGAGTAGTGTATGAACTATCTGGTATCCATAACATAGGTCTCGTAGCTTACCATGGAATTATATGGTGTTGTGTGTTTATGTCCAACATATTTAATATGTGAGAAAATAAAAAATAGTTTCAACACCTTAAAATCCTTTAAAAATAATTCTACTTGAAAGTTAAAAGAACAGTTTTTAAAAGCTGAAAGCTTTTATTAAATAAAAAGTTAATATTTATAAATATAAAAAATAAAGCTAGGCATTTTCTATACTGCCGATTTAATTACACTGCTACATGTCATCTTTGTTGTGCAGGTATTATTTTTAATTTAAAAATACGCTACGCTACAGAAATTTCGTTAACAAAAAAACATATTTGATAAACTTTGCAATGCCTAGCTCTGAATTTTATTTTGCATGTATTTTTGTGATTATTTTTTTAATTTTTTTTTGTGAAATCGATGATTGATTACATGATTACGAAAAGGGCTTTGCCATTGTCCGTTACCATTTATTACAGTCGATAAATCATTGCTGGTACTATAAATATTAAAAAAGCAAGAGTGTTTTGTTGGTTTGTCTTCTTTTACGAGATAACAAGTCGACGTGACTTTATAAACAGACTGAAGATGGGCTACTCTGGTGCATAAAGTGGTACTTAATTAGTTACTAGTTTTTGCCCGCGGCTTCTTTTATGTGGTAAGTGGGGCGAGGATCAAAGCTAGCCGATCTCCGTCCCCAGGATGCAATTTACGTCCTTGCCAAATAGTGAAGGTGGTGAACAGGTACCACACAGTTACTTATACATTTATAATATATTGGGTTTATTATACTTTTACCGTTATAATATATTCGTATGGATTAATATCCATCATACTAATGTATGATATTGAAAAAAGTTTCTATTGTAATTAGCAAATAAAATATATTTATTACAGATTTTCACAACAGTAAAATGTTCAAGGAAACTTCAGATGACATTATAGATATATTGAAGAGTGAGAACGTGACAGTTAATGCTCATCAATTTTGCATAGTTGATAAAGTAAGTTACATAACTCAGATACATAAATAACATGTTCTCTTAAAGTTTGTTTTAATATACACTTATTAAAACTCTCACACTGACAACCTGACAGAAAGCACAATGCCGATACCTTTGGCGTGGAGGCATGAAATTTTGCTATATAATCCCATATGTTATAATGAAGGCCAGGAAGAAGTTTTGAAAATTCATCCCCTAAAGAATTAAATAGGGGTGAAAGTTTTTATGTAAATTCATCATTCTTAAACTTAAATTAATGTTTTAAGTTCCATTTATATTGTCAAATATTAAACTGCCTCGATGGTCTAGTGGCTAGCATATTCCGCTGCAGGTCCAGAGGTCTTGAGTTCGAGATTCTGAGGGTCGGGCTATGTTTAATTACTAAGTTTTTCTGTTAAGATATTCTCAGTAGTAGCCTGGAGTTCAGAAGTTCCGGTGTTAAACCTAGCTATCCCGGGATAATATATGTATAGTTGTCCGTTTGCCTATTAAAAAAGTATGCTTATAGAAGTAATGCTTCATTTTAGAAACAAAAAGTTAATAACTAACACTTGAGTATTTTCCTCGCAGGATTAAAATTCAAGCTCACCCAGATGGTTAGGCCAGATTAAACTATGTAGAGTCCCCTAGACGATACAAGTCTCGTAACCACTATCCACTCAAATGTACCTAGTTATCGTTTAAACCTTATGAATATTATGAAAACTTAATATTTGAATATGTATAAAATTTTAAGTAATTGGTAATGTGTAAGTTTTATGTTTAACTATTTTTGAGAAATAAGTGTGTTCTCTATATATATTAATATTTTATATCCATACTAATATTATAAATTTGAAAGTGTGTTTGTATGTTTGTCCTTCTTTCACATCGAAACGGAGTGACGGATTAGCGTGATTTTTTGTGTGAAGATAGTTGGAGGACTGGAGAGTGACAAAGGCTACTTTTTACTGCGGGAGATTATCTAACTAAAAGACGAAAATACGTTATAATACTATCCAGTAAAATTAAATAACCTTATATTATAAGGGGGTAAAATAGGGGATAAAAGTTTGTATGACACTACCTTTTTAGACATTTTAAATAAAACTATCTTTTCGGATTTTTTGTTATTTGTGGGTAGGCTGTCTGTAACAATTATATAACACATTAGAGACATCTAACACTTCAGTCTCTCTCGTGACCATGATAGCTGTAAAGCATTCGAAACGTCGGGAACCAAAAATCCAAATAAATCCGCGAAAAAATCCGAAAAGATAGTTTTATTTAAAATGTCAAATATTCGCGTAAATCTAAGAAAGTATTACCTTTTTAGAGATTTTTTGTAGTTTTAGCGTGAGCGAAGCTGCGGGTTCTGCTAGTATGTTTATATATTATTATCATTAAGTCTTACTGTAAATAATGTTCTTAAATTAAGTAACTCGAGATATTTATAAATCCTTTTTTTTCTTCGTCAACCTAAATTACGTATGTGAATGATCTATTACTATAATTCCAGTCCAATATATATACGCCAAATAAATATTACTATCATTAATATTGTATGAAATAAATCAAAAATATTCCTTTCAGAACTTAGAGGCCTATAATTTAACGGAGGACTGGCGCGTGACATCTTACAGTTTTGACGACTACGGTGTAGAATTTATAGCAAGTATTGAACATACAAGGTACGTAGATATATGAATATCCTATAATATTTTATGTATTTATAGATATAAAATTCAATTTTCTTTGCTAAATTGTAGAAATAATTATCGGAATACTATTATCTCTGCTAAAGTTTGTATGTATGTGCATATTTGCTTCTCCTTCTTTGCTAAAATGACTGGACGGATTTGGATGAAACATGACTACTGCTAAGAAGCGGGGAAAAGCCATTAGTTTATAATATTTTTATTAAAACATGGCATGGTCTTATTATTCTAAGACGTATAATTTTTAATTAAGGGAATACTTATTTTTTTACTTTTACGATAAACATTCTTCTGTATCTCAATTCCTCCGTCATGGTTTTCTTCGTTTAATTCGCGATATTTAAAAAATATATCTGGCAACATCATGAATATTTCTTTATATAATAATAACTATTTACTTACATATAAATCAAAGTGTATTTTTGATTTATTGTCATTCATGGAACTCGAAGAATCGATAGGATGTGAGGCCGTCGATTTATAATATAATCTATTTTCATTCAGGTACATCAAATTATTCTTGTAGGATTTTTTTTATTAGATTGGCACCATAGGTGTTAATACTACTGTATTAAAATAAAAATAAACTCTTTAATCTGTTTAAATTTATATGAAAAAATGATGTTTTCATAATAAAGTAATATTTTTCATTTAGATACCCATTTTATGGAGTCCAGTTCCATCCCGAAAAGAACGCTTTTGAGTGGAAAGAGTCAAAAAACTATGCCCATTCTTTAGAAGCAGTAAAAAGCAACCGCTACTTCATGGATTTTTTCGTTAAGGAATGTAGAAAGAATAGTCATTCTTTTGCAAGTATTGCGGAAGAAAACCTATATCTAATTTACAACCACCAACCGCATTTTACTGGAGTGCTAGGCAGCGCTTACCATCAGTGCTACTTATTTGAGCCCCGAGGGACAGTTTCGAAGAAGTAATAGAACATTTCTTCAGCACATATCGCTATACAAGATGTTGCAGATTTTTTTGATCATATAAAATATTCTGAAATATGCTTAAGCTGTTTTATTTGTAGTTCCATCTTCTATACCTTTTGAGATAGATAGAATCTACATTTTATATATGTATAAACGACAGTACGTTAGGTCCCTTGCTTACTTTCTTTATGGATATTGTGTGCTGAGATCTTCTTACCGACGCCTTCACTAATATATAAACGTTTACTTCCTTAAAAAATCTAACCCGTTGTCCTGATTTGTTGTTTATAAACGGTGTCTAACGTATCATACTGAATATCGACAAAAGTCTTTAGATTGTATTATAATTTATGGTTTTCTGGCAAATTAACATAAAAACAACAAAAAATTGATTGCATTATAATTACTAGTGACAAAAGTTCCTAACTAACTTTTTTTTTCTCCCCTTGTACCTCCTTGTTGATCATGTACATTGTCCTTCATGTACGGAGTTTAGAAACAGCCTGTCAATATCTGGCCTACAAAACATGGAAGCAAAAAATGATATTGATTATTGCAACATTGCTGCGTAAAATAAAGATATGCCAACAAACTTTCACATTCAGAAGCTTATTAAAAATCAGGATAAACTAAAAAATGCAACCAAATAGATATGTTTCCAAAAACACAACGCAGTGAGGTAAATGATTGCTAATATCTTAGATATTAGCTCTAAAGGCCTCCAGTACCAAGTCCCTATCTATTGAACGGCTTGCTTCCGGGACAGATAGTTTAGCAAAATAAAATCTAGGTCACAGGAAATTTCGACCTTACCGACAGGTATAGCTCCGGACGTCTTTATGGCGATACGTATCCTTTAGAGGCTAATGTTGCCAACTTTCATATTTGCCGAATATATTTCGATTTTCTAGATGATTGTACAAAAAGAACATAAACGTGCAAGTCGATTTATATATTTAAAATCAATTTTGTTTTTATTTAAGTGCTTATGTATATAATCCTTGTAAAATATTCTATGAATATTTTTTTGTATAAAAGTACTGCTAGATTAAAACTTTTATGTCAAGTATCCTTAAGAATTATTGGTAAAATAATATTATCTTTTAAAGAAATGATATAGTTATGGTTAATTTACAGTTGTGCCTTAGATTAAGGTGAAGACTATACAAAAATAGTTAAAATTTCAAATTGTTCGTATAATATTAACTAATACAATTTATTATGGGAGTTTAAATGTACACTACAAAGAGAAAACTATGAACTAGACATAAACCATCAATTTTTATAGTTATTTAAATTATTTTTAAAACCTTTTCTTAAAGGTAAAGAGATATTTCGTTACATATCTATGTTTCAGCATAAGTTTCTCATGCGCAGGTCATGCGCAATAAAAGCACGCGCAAAACTAACCTTTATCTACAGCGAACTTTCTGAAAGTTTATCAAACGCAATACGTAAAAAAAACAAAAATGATATATATAAATAATAAAAAAATATAAGAAAAAAAAATAAAGTGAATGTAACTTTTTACTTAGAATATTTATTATAATCACTCAGATATTAGCAACCTGTAGCGTCGTCTTTCACTCGCGTATGACACAAACGAGCGTCCCCAATACGATCCGACGGAGTACTGACGCTGGCCACCCCCTCGCCTCGCATCGACCCGCCAACCCTCGGGGGTGCGATTTTGTAGACTGTATAGTTATTTTCCTCCGTTTTTTTCAATAAAATATTATAATCAAAACTATTTGTTTTTACGAAAAAATAAATAGTTATAGTTTATTCCCTTTCGCTCAATCGTGATGAGATTTTATTATTACAGTTATGTATTTAGTACGTCTTATTTTTACATTTTTAAAGGTAGTAATGGGCTTTTAATAAAAATGTTTGTTTATATTACAAGAATTTATTTATATCGTATAATATCAAGCGTTTAAATATGAAAATTTAATTTCTTACACGAATAAAGCGAAAAGAATCCAAGACCCGGTCCATAAGTGACGCTGAGTGAGATACGAAGCTCTTACTTAGTAGATTAACTTAAAATGCAATTACTTACCGTTACATTTTCCCTTTATTGAATAAAAGTAGAATTCTATAACTTTCATAGAACGTACAAATTTTAAAACAAAGTTTAAAACATGAACATAAAATCCTTGAATATAAAGTTTAGCTCAGTTTTGCTACGGAATATTTAAGTTTATACAACTTTCACAAAACGAAGATTGTTACATCAGATTGATATTATGAACTGAGATGCATCCTTTTTTATGATTAACTAGTGACTCAGCCTCGCTTCGCTCGGGTTCGTCCCTAACTTGCTTCCCAATACAAACTTTCATAAAAAGTATCCTATGTCCTTTCTAGGGTCTTAAACTATCTTCTTGCCAAATTTCATTTAAATCGGTTAAGTAGACCTCTGGGTCAGATTACCCCATACAACGTCACAAACTCACAATTCACAAACTTTACCTCTTTATAATATTACTAGCGGACCCGACAGACGTTGTCCTGTCTACACGTCTTTAATTTGAAAATTTCAAACTTTTTTTAATAATTTTTTTGATGAAAATTATTATTCAAATTGTGAATCTAAACCATTCCCAGATCCCCTTGAACACACACAAAAAATTTCATCAAAATTGGTCCAGTCGTTTAGGAGGAGTTCAGTCACATACACACGCACACAAGAAATATATATATTAAGATATACGAGTAGTATAATATCTACACGACATTGGCGAAGTAATCTGTGCCCAAATGGCACGCCTAAAAGCCAAATAACAAAGAATTGAATTGAATTAAATGATTAATAATAAATTATAATAAAAAAAGGTTTTTATAAAAAAAATCTTAAACTTAATATAAAAAACTTAAAATTATTATTAATAAAAACCTTATTATTCGATGGGCATTAAAAATCAAGGCCCATGTAACAGATTCAATTTTCCATTAAGTAAATGTTGGTAGATATTGGCTCTACAAGTATTTGTTTAGCTGTGGGCGTTGAGGCGAAAGCGTGATATTTGGAATTGCCACCCTACTCATCGCTAACAATTATAAGGGGGAAACATGAGAACGTTGGAACTCAACCCGCCCTTCTTACCCTTTAACGTACATAATGAAAAGTTAAACACCTAAAGCAAAATTAGTTGCCCTAATGAGTGCACATTTTAAATATATGTAATGAGACAATCAGGAAACTTAGAAAGATCATAAATATTTTTGTAGCTATTATATTTTGAAACAAAGATGATATGATTTTCTTTGTACTGTACAATATCAGTCAGTAGTATGTACTCGTATATTCTATTAAGAACACAATGCGCCTTTTAAATTAGTTGTCCAAACTCCTCGCGTTGCGTATTACATAATACTATGTATTTACTAAATATAAGGAGATAAAATGTAGGCTACAAACAAAAACAAGCCCGGACCCGGTAGGTGGCGCTGCAATCGGTGTGCCACTGATCATCTCCTAAGCGGCAGGGACGATTTTAATGATATTTTTTGTGTATGTTCGAGTTGGGCCCTGCAAGGTTTGAATTCACAAAATTTTTATAAAAGACTCTATTTTCCGAGCAATCAATAAATTTAAATTGTTGATTAAACATTTTTAAAAAGGTCGCTCAAAATTTTTAAGAATTTAAAAAATCGTTGAAAATCGTTTTTTTATCTTTTTTTTTTTTTCTCATTATTTCGCAACTTTTATTAGATTAGGATTATGATTGAAAATGATTAGGATTCTAAAATTGTAAAGTTTAAAAAATTTTGAGCGATCTCTTAATTTTTTTTTGGACTGCGCTTTGGAGGGGGCTTTTAAAACATGATAAACTAACATATTTTCGTAAGAGACCCGAACAAAATATTTGATTTTTTTGGGCCACCCCGATGTAGGTATATTCGTAGATAAATCATTATAATACTATTAATATTATAACAGTAGTAAGGATTTACAGAATCATTTTGTCAATAATTTAAAATATATGTAAAGCGCTGTGTCATGATTAAAATCTTTGGAAAAAAATGATGTTCAATAATTACAATCTGCAATTGCAATTGATTTTTTTTTATTATTCTAGACTATTGCCTGACTACGATAAGTACCCATAATATAATATGTATAATTGTCTAATATATGTTTGTAATATTGAAAGCACCTATATATTTTCTCAACTAACTAAATAAATATACATTACGGTCATTGTGGTATTGTGAGACTTGTAGGTGGTTGAAATTACCTATTAAAGTGGGACGAACGATTCCATTGCCGCACGGGGCGAAATATAAACTATCGTGCGAATCTTGTACACGTCTAAATAAGAGAAATACGATGTTGGGCTTGGTTAGAACGGTGTGATAAGCAACCGTAACAAATGCCAACATCCTTACCAATAATTTGGACAATTTTAAGGGTGTTAAAGTTAATTGATTGTCCCTATAGTTATTTTTTTGATATAGAGTATAACGATTAGTATGAAATAGATAGACTTTATTCGATTTCGGGCACGGTGGTTAATCTCATCTAGACTAGCCAGTGGGTGCAGGAGATAATAGAGTGCAGCGCGTGTGTGCGCAGACACAAGTGCACTCTCTATTCCTGGCACTCTCATACTCCGGTGGGACGACTGTTCGACACGAGCAGTGAAAGATAAGGTGCAGGACCGCCGTTTGTTTGTAATACTGAAAATTTTTATTGTAAATTATGTAACTCATTATTTAAAAGAGCAACTTTTGATTTTCTTGCCATCTCTTCTCAGCAGAACTGCTTTCCGAGCCGGTGGAAGCTTCTACACGGACAGACGTACTGACGATTATAAAAGTACTAAATATAAAAATATATGCAAGGAATATCTTAAAGTTTTATTAGTGACCTCCGGCAGTACTAAGTAGATATGCTTAACTCAACTTTACGACACCTCATTTATTAGACTTATTATTTTGTTATATATTATTAAAATAAATCACATGAATGGTCCACATTATTGTAAGGT